ATCAGACCAGGAGCTACCATCTCAAGAGATTGAACGGCTCCAAGGTACCCCGAGCTTGGAACGCCGAGCACCTTCGGCCATACTATCAGTAATCCCAAACTCAGCTCGGTTTTTTGATAATTTCTTTTTTCGGCATTACTTTGTTTACTAAGGTCGTTCGAATGTGTTCTGTTCGCATGTCAAAATTTATAATGTAATCGCTTATGTGAGCCACAATTGTAAATAGTGCATATTTATAAAAAGTAAACTTCAATTGCAAATAGTCATATACAAAAGTTTGGCCCGAGTACAGAAAGAGCGACTCCCTAAACGCTAAGGCTGGTCGGGAAGATCCTTCGAGCTGGAGCCGCCAGCCTGGTCGGCCCCCTGGTCGGGTTCTGGGCGGCCGCGCGGCAGCCTGGCCTCCTCGGCCATGGTCCGCAAGGTCGCCTGCCAGAGGTTCGGGAGGTCGGAAAAGTCCAAGTCAGGATTCTTTGCGCAAAGGACGAGTAGATGACCCGATCGCCCAGTCCGGGCCTTCTCCTCCAACCCCCCAGCCTGATTCTGCATCTCCGCAGTTAGTGCAGCGACCCTCTCCTCGGACTCTCTTGAAGTTCGGCATCAAGAGCCAGCCTTCTGTCGAAGGCCCCATTAGCTTCTTCAGCTCGCTGAGCCGTTCGAAAGTCCACCGCAGTTCTTGGTCCTTTTCGCTGACCTCCTTGGTGAGACGGGCGGTCGTCCTGAAGCTCTTTGATCTCTTCTGCACGACGTCGAGCTCAGCCTTCTGGAAATCCACTGATCGCAGGGCGGCATCCTTTTGGTGCAGATACCTGTCCGCCGCTTCGAACGTTGTGCTCTTCAGCCTCGACGGACTCTAAGCTCTGCTTCAGCTTCGCGACCACTCCTCTTCGAGGTCGCTAGTTCCCTTGCGTCTCCCAGACGCGTCTTCTCCATGGACATCCTCATCGCAAGTATCCCTGCGAGCAGAATATGTCGTTTAGAAACAAATCGGATTGGAATTTCCAAGAACGGTCAATTTACCTTGCTCAGATGCTGAAACGACGTAGCCAGCAGGTCGTCGCCCGTATTGCAAATTCATTGTATGACTCCGATAACTCGCAATCGAGCAGGCCATAAACGATCGGCTGCAGGTACTCGGGCAGACTCCCAATGAATCTAGAACAGGTGCGTCCGTTGCACCTGCCTCGCTCACAGGCTCCTTACCCGACCTCCGGGACCCCGACGCGACCTAAGAGGCTCTTCCTCAGATTCGGTCTCTGACTCGTCAGGCTAATTTGCTTTCTCTTCTTGACTTCTGGGCCGAGCCTTTCGCTTAGGGCGAGTAGTCGGTGCTGAGCAGCCTGTCCCGACTGGTTCCCCTTGCGCAGCAGGCCGGGCTGGGGAGCCGGGACTGTTCGCACGGCTGTGCGGACAGCACGAGCAGCGTCAGCCTCCCTCTCTTCCCTCGATCGAGGAAGAACAAACGGTGCTCGACGGGACTGCCCGGACTCCTTTGGGCATCGTTCCTGCACTCGAGGTCGTTAGTAAACGAAATCATTTAACGACCAGAAAGAAACCAGTAACTCCTTCAAGCGGTTCTAAAGATGCCCGGGTCGCGAAAAACCGTACTTCTGCAAGTTGCGCGGTTGTACGAGCTTCCTCGCGTCGCGACTATCTTCGTCTAATACTCCGAAATTTACGAGCCTATGACCGGTCAGCGAGTAGCGACTGATGGTGTTCTGTAACTGTAAAACACATCAGGCTGTTTATGGATCAGACGAGCAGATAATAGACTCAATAAGAAAACCTACTTGGTTCTTGAAAATGGCAATAGCCTTGTACATGAAAAAGAAAAAACTTTGACTCGGGCCCCCGCATTGCTGGGGTAATTATGTATCCCCGCGGTAATGGTAGGTCGCCGAGATAGGTAGTATGAGTCCTTATCCCTACTCTTCTTAAGGTAGTAGGCGACACCGAGCTCTACCGCAGTTGGCTCCCTAAGCCGCTCTCCAGCAGCAGCGATGTACATCGCGACAGCGATGACATAACTTGCTGGCGTCAATTGCATCGGTGCGATCCCGAAATGATCCAGGACCGACCTGATGAAAGGATGGAAGGGAATCCTCCCCCCACCCTTGAAGATCTCCTCTGAGATCGCGGCGAGGCCAGTGTCTGGGCGCCGCGACGGTCTGGTATGGTCGAGGAACACTTCCGCGCGAATATCGTACTGCGTCTTTATTCTATTATACTCCTCGGAAGTAAGAACGAGTAAACGTCAAGGGCTGCGTCCTCGGGGACTTCCCGCGAGGACGAGGGCTCCTTCCTCGGGTCTGGATGTGGACGGTTCCATTCCAGTCTGCAACATCGACACACGGTCATTAAGGCCTTCGTGTTCGTCCGAGTGTTGACAGGACGCCTAAAAATCTATCAACTACTCGAGCCGCCATCCACGGCTCGAATCCAAGGGCGGCGTCGTGTCTCCGGTGAAACGCCGAGAGACCCAACGCCACTATTCCACCAACAAACAAAACAAAAAAAAAGAGGAAGAGAAGGAAGAAGACCTTACTCTCTGGACGTGAGGCTGATGCGAAATCCGTTCAGATGCCTGAAAAATGCCGATCGGACGAAATGTGCTCAGGCGTGCGAAGGTTTTCTGTTTGAAGTGAAAAAAGTTTCGGTGGCTTCATCAGAAAAGTGAGTTTTTATATGGGATTGCGAATCGACGGTTACCACCTTTGGAACTGAAACGACAGCCCACTCTCTCTCACCGCATTAAATGCGCCCCACGTCGCATTAACTGACGCAGTAATGCCCTCGTTTCGGTACGCTGCGCCACTAACACTGCCAAACGGTGCCAGCTCAGCACGCAGAGCATTTATGTGCCTGACATGCTTTAGCGCGCGCAGGCCGCATGCAGCGTGAAACCAGGTTCGTTGAACCTGTACAGAGGAGCCCCTCAGATCCAGGTCGCTAAGGTGGAGATGTCAGGTCGCTTCGACTAAGGACTGCATGAGGTCGCGTTCACACAAGTTCTGTACCGAGCTCTTCTGTTCAGGTCGGAGCGAGTAAACTTCAACGTAACTTAGTTTCCAAGGTCCGACCTTCGAACCTTAAAAACTAGGGGGCTTCTGTTATGCCTAAGGAAATAAAGGCCTGACGTGGGAGAGTCACGTGAAGGGCGACCTGCCCGTCGTCAGCACAACACGCAACGTCGACCTGCCAGTGATTGGAGCCCACACGCGTCCTTTCTCCTGCACAAGTCGTGCGATGTCAGCTTGGAAAAAGGGAAATGGGACATAAAGCCTGATTATACACTGACAATCACACCAAACCACGGATTTAGCAATGATTATACTTTTCAGTGTCAGTATAAAATAGGGAAGACCCCTTCATTAAGGGGATTCGGCCATTTACATAAAAAAAGGAACAAAACAGAAATTTCTCTCTTGTAAAACTTTGCTTTACTTTTTCTCTGTTGTAAGTCAGCTCCGACCGCGACCTGACACCCACTAATATCAATACAAATCAGTGGACGTAGGACTTGCTATCTTAGCATCCGAACCACTTAAAATTCCCTCTACAGCTATTTTATTTTTCTGACATTCCATTTTCACGTACATCAAACAGTCACTTGATATTATACACGTAAAAATTCGTTGGTGCAAGATCGACGCATCAACTATAAGAGCATAAATTAAATTACGTACCTCCATGTGGGCGTTACACCCCCCTGGTTTCATAAATTTCATATTCCCACCTTTAAATTAATAAAAAATCCATTTAATATAACGATAAAGGCTAAAATGGTCATTTAACTATGTATGAAAATAAAATTTCAAAATAAGTTAAATAACCCTCCACGGAAAGGGAGGGATGGTGAGTCACCAGCGAGAGGAAATCGACTAGAAAAAAAAGCACCCAAACAACACAAGCTAACGTGCGTCGCCTCTTGCTAAAATGGGTGGCTATTTTGGTGAAATGGAAAGAAGGTTGGAGAGGATGGTGGGGATGCTACTGGTGGTGAGGTGGTTATGGTTGTGGAAGCTGGTGAGGTGGTTGTGGTTGTGGAAGGTGTTGTGGTGGTGGCGGCCGTAAAAGGTGGTGGCGACTTCTGGGAGAAGGTTTACCAGAGCGCAAGTTGGAGGGTAGGTCGCTGATTGCGACCTTTCATCGAACAGGTTATGTTCAATCGGAAAAAGGTCAAAGGAGAGAACTTTAGGAGGCGCCGACGACCGGAAAAATCCAACAAGTCACAAACACTTTAAAGAAGGTCAATTTTGCGTCCAAAAATCCAACAAAATCAACCCAAACAATCCTTCAAACTCAAGAAAAAAACCCAAGGAAAATGGCCTTCAAGATGGTGAGAAAGGAGCAAAGAGGGTTGGGGGATAAGGGTGTTTTGGAGAGGGTACACCAGGGAGTGGAATGGTTGGGTGGAGGGCTATTTCCGGTGGGAAGGGTGGTCGGAAAAAGGTTTGGAAGTGGGGTTATTTTCTAATTCTATTAATTTGGGGGTTAAAAGTAATTTAAAAATATTTTATCAAGGGCAGTATGGTAATATCATTTTCTATACCTGTGTCGGAATCTAAAAGTTGCTAACGGTATTGGTTTAAGAGTGAGAATATGGAATTTATAAAACAAGGGGTGGAAAATTGGTATTTCGCCAAACCTTGGGTGGGAACATGTCATTTCCTCTTGTTATAGTAATGATATTTTAGTTGTGCCGAGTTACACATGGAGATGGAATATACAATTGAAAGATTCAGTAAATCAAGAGACCTTGCTGTATGGATCAACTAATGATTATATTTAATTAGCTTAATATCTCTTACAAATTATTAAACTTTGGATGAGAAGCAAATCCCTAAAATTTGTAATTTTTTAGTAATTAGATTAAAGAGTCCTGAGTTGGGTCCAACTCTCGCAACGCAGAAGGCATCTTTGAGTTTAAAATTGATTCTGTTAAGAATCATAAGGATCATGTTCATGAATAATGTCTTTTAACATTATAATAAGGGTAATACTATTTGTATAAACTCTTTGTTCAAAGAGAGATTATATAAACTTACGTAGCACACCACAAAGCATGTCATATGGTATTGGGACCGACGTAACTTAATGTAACATTAATGTTACATGGGCTCTTATGTCACGTGATACTCACATGGTGTATCACGTAAGTTTGTACAAACTCTCTTTGTACAAAAAGAGAATTTGTACAAATAACATTACCCGTATAATAAACATGCTTTTATTCTTAAGAATTAGTTTTGACAAACTTACAAGAAATATGACTGAGCTTCAAGCATCCACCGTCTTGAGTTTGTGTAAACAACAAATGACCCCACATCTAATAAGCTATTTTTACAAAAAATCATTTTTATCATATTTTTCAGGAATTACTTTTTCTGCTTCGGGTAGGGTTACGATAACTAAACTACTGATCAACTGATAACCAAGAATTTGCTTGAATCCAGTTAAATGCTATAGGCCCCAAGAAAGCATCAGGTATGCCAAAGGAATTGACCAAGGCAAGTGCATGTGGTCGCACTTCACTGCATAGTTGCATTACTTCTTTCCTCACAGCAGCATCGTTGTCAGTTGATAAGCAACCATATCGGAGGAACGCCACCTCTTCTTCCATACATATTACAGCATATAACGATCTCAGCAAACCTAGCACTTGCTGTACAAGTAAAAGATGCTTATGCTCAGATACTTCAGTTTCTTTTTTTAATTAATTTGGTGATTATGCTGTATAATGGAGATTATTAAGTGGAATTCTTACTAACAATCTTCATTTCAATCCTTACAGCCATCTATTAAAACTAGGCAAATTAATGGTTATGAATTGCATTTCACCCAAACCTTGAGCATCTTTTATTTTTAGTACTGTTATCTGCCTGCCGGAAACAAACCAAGAAATGACTCTGCATACATCTAGGGAAACTCAGGCTATGACTTACAGATGTAGCTAAACTTCCTTACTACTATATTACATCTTCCATCTAAAACTTAATTTCCTTTTCATCCAATATTTCCTTGAAAATTGATTTCTTACTGCAGTTTGTTAATGTATGTTTTACTTGGTCAGGGAATATGTGACACCCTATATATACCCACACTGAAACTTGGGCAACAGTGTATCCGAAACTGTCATACCACAATGAGATACAACAAATAGTTGCTAATATTTACCTTTAAAGAACCTGCGAATACGGTTTCCTCAGTCTCGATAAAGGTTTGCAATATTAATCTATCTGAGAAAGCTCTACCCAAGTCTTCTGCAAGCTGGTAACTCTGCGTGCGGTAAAGTGAAAACAACAATTAAAGAAGAGAAAGGGAAATGAGAAGAGAAGCAATTGGCAAATTAGGCAACATAAGACCAGTCTCACCAGAATGAAGGCATAATTTTTACTTTCTCCCTTAGCTTGACGCTGTGACACTTCTGCAGCAAAACGATTCAAGAGGTCTCTCTCCCTTAAGCAGAACACATCCATCTAACATGCAAAGAGGTTAGCAGCATTCAAATATCATTTAAATTAGAAACTATAAAAGCTATATTAGCTTACTTGAAACTGGCTGCTCCTGAGGATAGAGCTTGTAAGCTGAGATGGGATTACAGGGCAAGGCTTATTCATATGCTCTAATCCCAAGCCTTTAAAAATATTATTTCTCTTCTTAACTGCTATATATTCTGCAAGAAGCACATTGCTAACCTATATTCACACATTCAACTCATAAATTCAATTAGAGAGATTTATGGAGAAAGTAAAACTCATTAGAAAGTAAAACTCATTAGAACTATAGTTCCAAATTAATTTTTAGCCATTGAGAAAAACAAATAAAAAATTGGTGACACAATGATTAAGACAAATTTAGAAATCAAACTTGGAGGAAATATGAACTAAGTTCAGAAGTCTTTTTTAAGCCATAAAGCTTTGGGGACGGCTATTAAGCAATTCGTGTCATTTGGAAGAAAGTAAGTTGGAATGTGACATTTTCTCTTTACCTATTCAAATCTCCAACAACAAATTTATGTATATACATACTCAGGTCACCTTGTTAAACAAATTAATATCGATATGTTGCAGTTCTTTGTTATAAATTTATAAAAGAGAGAAGACAATAGACTTAGGCTACCTGATGCATCAGGACATTGTTGTCCCCTTCAAAAGTGGACTGCACATCTATCTCACCCTTCAACCGACCAACAAGATTTTCAGTCTTCTGACCTCGTCCACCACAAGCTTCAAAACATTCCTATAAAGCACAGTAATCTAACTTTACTGAGACCACTTAGCCTAAATGTAAATAACCCGAGTATAATTGGAGATGAATGTAAATAACACAGCAATAATTGCAGTTTCTGACCTTTAGTGTTCGCATATTATGCCAGGTAAGAGTGGCCTTGAGTGCACTTGAAACAACATGAATGGTTTTGTTTGACTGAGGTCTCCTATTCACATACATCATCTTCAAGTAATTTGCAGCAGAATTCATAGCATATCTGCAGCAGAAATGGGGAGAAAAGGTGGAGAATGGCGAGCAAACAAGAAAAGCATTTCATTAGTTAAGACCGTAATACACTATAGTTACTTCCATTTGCATACAAGATATTACTGAACCAATAAGGATATTTACATCAGCATTCAATGAGTATAAAATATAGATACTTTGAATATAATCAAACTTGGTACTTAGTTTTGCAAAAAGATAAAAATTGGGAAGAACTTTTAGATGTTCAAACAGTAGCGAATCCAGTAGTACATATACTCAGTGGATACTGGATCATATTTCTACACTCATTGTAATGGAAGTACTAGATAAAATTTTATATCCCAGAGAGTTTCAGAAAAATGCAATTTTTTTTTATAGAAAATATAATTTAAATTTCAAATTACAAATTATCCAGATGCTTACGTCTTTGCAAGGAGAGGTAGTAATCGCCGTTGATGACTTGGGTAATCGAGCAACAGGACTTCAGGTCCATTTGGTGTCACAGAGAAGGCCCGCCTTGACAATGCATACCTTATGGCTATTGCTAAACCCATCTGAAAGGTGAAGAATGTTATTTATCAATAGTTCCTTAAGTCTCTTATGAGCCACCTGCTATCCCAGGTCTCAAAAAATTACACATGTATGCAACAAAACTTTTCCAACTGAAACCGAGACTAGATTTAAAATGTATCATCACCTTTGATGTGTACACTGCACCAACTGCAATAGTTACACGACCAGATGTTAACGGGGCCAGAAAAGCCGCAAATCTCTGATATGAAAGACATATAATAGTAAAACCATTTAGAAAGTCATTAGTCAAAACTAACAAAATACAGTTTTTATCAGATACATCAAGCTAGAGGAAGAAGAAGAAATAGAACAATATGCGATCCAACAGCAAGGTAATTACTTTATCTGGGTCTTCAATTGCACTCAGATATTCCCCATCAGGTGAAACATCAGCTACTGAATTCAACAAATTCTCTCTGGGGACTCGGACATTGTCAAACCTGAAAAACATTCCAGACTTTTGAGTTGCATCTCAAATCTCTAATTATGGAGAACTTAATTTTAAGACATTGAAACATGAAGTAGAGCAGTTTAACAACAAAAGGTCTTATAATAATCACCAGATTCGACCATTATCAACACCATTCAACCCACTTTTATGACCACAATCAGCTATCCGGACATTAGGACAGACGTTACCATCTGCATCCCTTATCTGGCAAATGAAGGCATGAACCCCTAGATTTTTCCCATTAATTTCAAGCTGTGAAAATACCACTGTATGTGTTGCATGCTAAACAGCCAAAACCACAAAACCATATGAGCACATTAAATAAAAAATAATAGTATAAAAGAAAAAGCACTTAACATGGCATAGAATTAATATAAAATAACGAAAATGATTATTAAAGTCAAATCGTAAAGAGAAAAAAAAATAAAGAAGAAGAAAGAATCTTACATTGGCTGCCCCACCTATCCAATACTTTTGAGCAGATTCACAAGGAGTGTTTATGACAAACTCTGCCGTGTTTGAATCAAACCTGGTAATTGTTTCAATTCCTCTTACCTAAAAATCAAACAAACCCAATTAAAACTTCAAAATTTAAGATTCAAGAAAAACAATTACATACATTACTTCCATGTCCCAACTCCGTCATTGCAAAGCAACCCTTCACCACGTAATTCTCAGTGTCTCTCAGCCACTTGTCGTGGTGTCGCTTCGTTCCCAAAAACTGGATGGCCCCACCCCTGCAATCCCATTACACATTTCTGTTTTCATTTTCCAGATTGTAATTGTTATGCCTAAGGAAATAAAGGCCTGACGTGGGAAGAGTCACGTGAAGGGCGACCTGCCCTCGTCAGAGCAACACGCACACGTCAGACCTGCCAAGTGATGTGGAGCCCACACGCGTTCTTTCTCCTGCCACAAGTCGTGCGATGTCAGCTTGGAAAAAGGGAAATGGGACATAAAGCCTGATTATACACTGACAATCACACCAAACCACGGATTTAGCAATGATTATACTTTTCAGTTCAGTATAAAATAGGGAAGACCCCTTCATTAAGGGGATTCGGCATGTGACATAAAAAAAAGGAACAAACAGAAATTTCTCTCTTGTAAAACTTTGGCTTTGACTTTTCGTCTGTTGTAAGTCAGCTCGCGACCGCGACCTGACAACCCACTAATATCAATACAAATCAGTGGACGTAGGACTTGCTACTTAGCATCCGAACCACTTAAAATCTCCTCACAGCTATTTTATTGTCTTCTTGACATTTCCATTCACGTACATCAAACAGTCACTTGATATATACACGTAAAAATTCGTTGGTGCAGATCGAGCATCAACAGTTTGGCGCTAGAAGGAGGGCCGATTTTAGTGTCTACCCTTCATCAGAGAATCTTTGACTTACTGGTCTTAAGCTACAATGGCCCGCCAATCCGAACCTGAGCAAGGGAACCAGCATGCGAAGGAGTCCCCCTGGCCCAGAGGGACACCCCTTCCAACGTACCTTTATCTCACAAATGCTGGGAATATCCCAACAGCCCGCAACTGGACCTGCCACATGAGTTACCTGGAGAGTTTGATAATACTCTCCAGACGTCAACCAAGGTTGGACCGTCTAGACCAAGGCAGTCATCCACGACAGCCAGAGCCGTACAACCGCCAAAACGCCTGCAGGTCGCGCGAAAGCGCGGCAAAGGGCGATAGCCCGTGCCGCGAGCACTGCACGCGTAAGCGCAAGGTAAACAAGTGGCAAAAATAAGCCTACGGGCTCCCAAGGGCCGCACACCAAGGGTGCCCTACCAAGAATCGCAAAGCTGAGACTTGGCGAAGAGTGGACCCCGAGCGTCCCACCCACGATGCAAGCAAACCCGAGCAAAAATGCTTGGGCATGGTGGTCCCCGATCGCCACCAGCAGAGCAATCCCGATCGTTACGCGGAAGGTTTCACACCTCGCGGGCGGTTCGTACCACCGCGAGGGTCGTGAAAGTGCCCTCTCACAACCCGTCGGCCTCGCATGCCCTAGTCACATGTGTCGAGCGCGGCCGGAAATGCCGGCCGAGGTGAGGAGGAATCTAATCTCCGGACGTCTGAACCGCAACCGAGAAGGAGGGCTCGCACGGTTGAAAATACCCCCCATTTGGCTCCATTACCGCAAATTGAGGAGCTGCAGCGAGCTCTGGACAGGTTGAGGGAGCAGCAAAACGCAGACACAGGTCGTCTCCACTCCCTTTTTCCCCTGTAATGCAGCTGCCCTCACTACCACCAGGGTTCAGAATGCCAGACATGCTGCCGTTTGATGGAAACCTTTCTTTTGCACGTGCGCAGGACCGGTGCAGCATTTTTGGTGGGTTAATCTCATCCTCCCTCTTCTCCCTCTGCTGCCGTTTTCTTCTCTTTTCTGCTACCCTGTTCCTCGTCTTTGCTGGTCGGTCGACCACTATGTTTCCTAGGTATTTTATTGTGGATTGTGTCTTTTACGCTGACGGGTGGCGCACGGGGGGCGGCAAACGGTGGCTAGGTCGCTCCCAACGGTGGCGAGTCAGCTGTGTGCTCCTGGTCAGATGGAGCACGGAGGGGTGGCCTTATTGCGGCCCATTTTGCCATGCTCCAATCTGTGGGTTTTTTATGAGGCATCTCTTTTTTGGTGTTGTTGCAAGATGGCCTTTTTTTGAGCTTGTACCGTCAGCACGAAGGCAGGCGTAAGAGAGACGCCCGGGGCTTCAGCAGTGGTGATTAACGTTGATTCTCGGCGCTTCCCCAGGAACGCAATCAGGCTGACTGAACGCTACGGGGGCAGGGGGGAATTAAAACTCACATGAATATCCGGAGTACACACGAAAAATCCACAAGGTCTCTGTACCAAATAAGTAGTTGCCGATGCTCGGGAACTACCCGTGACCAGAAGGGACTAGCGGCTGACTATTTCGCCAGGCCCACCGATGTCACAACTTGCGGACCAAAATACTCGCAACCATGACGAGCCCAGAAGCGGCCCCTGATCCCCCGCGATCAGGCCCGCCATCTGTCCGGGGTGCGGGTCCAGTGAGAGATAACGCGGCTACAGCCAAAGACAATACGCGCACGGGAGGGAAAGCCCCCACACATAAAAAGTCCGACCTCCGCGTCCCCCCGACCGGGCCCGACAAGGCCCAACCCCCGCGGAAGTCCGAAGCCGAGCCTCGAGAAGCAATACACGAGAGCCAGCGTCGCGTGAACAAACCCAAGGAAACTCCCGCAGCGTGCGCGAGAACAGCAAGAATACTGTCGTAATCCCGGGATACCGACATCACACTGCGAGTGCCCCCTAAACCTGCATTGAAAGAGCTTATCAAGAAGGCTTCAAGAGTACATTGACGCCCATGCCGGCCAAGAAAACCGGGGGGATCGAAAGAAAAGCGACGCGATCGGCGAGCCGGGTACAGCCGTGTGAACCTGTTTTTCGGAAGGTCCTACCCAAACAAATCGCTAGGGAAACCAAACCACGGGGCAGCAGGACGGTTCACCAGCAGCTGCAATCATGGACGCGACTACAAACGTCAGTGGGCTCCATCGGGGGGCACGCTGACCTCAGGAAAGAGCCGAAGAGAAAGCCAAACTCCCTTACTAAGCGGCAGGGTGCAGCCATCGCGTTGCACCGCCGCGAACGAAGACGCATCGTGGTAACCACCCCCCTGGATTGAGGAATGTCCATAAACGGCGCAGATGCTTGTGGAGAACAGGAGCGCGTGGTGGACACATTCGGTTCAAGAGGTCGCCTTGCAAGTCGTGTACGTTATGACAGCCTGCTCGAGGCCCGGTAGGTACGGGACAGACCTACATACACCGCTCGGAATTATGATTGCCGCTAAAAGTCTGGCTATTGTTCTACTGGGGATCTACTCTAATACCCGCAGTCGGGCCCATGCAGCGGCCCAGTCGCTCGGCGAGACGACGTAGGTTACAGTAGAGTTAAGATTCCGCGTCGCAGTCGGTGAACCGAGTCCCCAAGGCCCTAAACAGACTGCCCAGACTGACTCGGTCCCGCCGACCTTACATAGGAATCCTGGCGAAGCCCCAGTACTGGAAAGCAACCTTGTAGCAGTGTTTTCCACTGTCCATCTATCATCCAAGATGAAGTCCCCACCTTGAAGGGCACGTCGGGATCGGGAGGTCACGGTCGCAAGTGCTCACGCAATGCATATAAAAGCGGTTTCCAATGGCCGCCAAAGGGAAAGACGATTTCGCGGTCTGCACGCCCCGTCAGGCCATGACACAGCCGAATCGAGCCACAGCCCGGCCCCGGCGGGAAGTATAATATAGATCCACAGAATTCAAGAAGTCCCCCCGAGCGAGTCCGGTTGAGGACCTGTCTGAAGTATCATTGTCCAAAGAGCCAAGCGCTAATACTAAAGATCCGGGAGCTGTCTTCGATCCCGCCTCGCTTCCGAGCTGGTGAACTTCTTGAGAGAGAACATTGATTGTTCGCCTGGTCGCAGAGTTAAAGGTCGTCATGGGTGCTTCCGCCGGACGTTTACCTTCCTTCCCTGAACGTCAGCAATGAAGCTAAGCCGTGGCGCCAAAAGAGAAGGGCGATGGATCCAGAGCGGTATGCCGGTTAAAATCCGAAGTGGAGAACCTTCCCGAAATGGATCTATTCGCGAAGCTCTCTACCTACCCTGGGCGCTAATCCGTGTCCTGGTAAAAGCCGAATGTTAAGTGGCGGACCTGCGTGACTCGTGACCTGAACAAGGCTTGCCCGAAGACAGTTCTCCTCCCCTGCCGAGAATCGACCCAACTCGTACCCGCCACCCGCGGGCACGAGCTGTTAAGTTTCATGGATGCATACTCGGATACAATCAAATGCCCGATGCATACCAGATAGGAGCATACGACCTTCTAAAACGGATAGGGGCTATACTGCTACAAGGTAATGCACTGCTCTCGCCTCCTTCGTCAAAATGCGGGTGCGACCTATCAGAGGTTGGTCAACCGAATGTTCTCGCAGCCAGATGCGGAGGACAATGAGGTCTATGTAACGACATGCTGTTAGTCCCAGGTCGCCTCTGAACATATCAGCACCTCGCAGAAATGTTTGACATACTCCGACTCTATAGAATGAAACTGAACCCTCTCAAATGTTCATTCGGGGTATCGTCAGGCAAATCCGGGGATATATGGTTAACCAGCGGGCATAGAAGTAACCCCGAAAGATTCAGCTCTGCTCGAAATGAAGAGCCCGACCGCAAAAGGCAGCGTCATGAGTTTGAACGGGCGATAGCGGCGCTCAGTCTCTTCATATCAAGGCTAACCGCCCGCTGTTTACCATTCTTCAACGTTCTGAAGGCCAATAAGAAATTCGAATGGACTTCCGAATGCGAGCAAGCATTCCAGAATATAAAAGAGCATCTCGGGAAGCCACCTCTTCTCTCCAAACCTCTTCCACGGGAAACCTGCTCGTCTACCTCCGTGTCTCAGTTCGCGTCAGTGCAGCATTAATACGAAGAGGGAAAACTCAGTGGCCGTTTTATTACGCAAGTAAACGTCTATCGACGCCGAGATGCGGTATCCAGAAATGGAGCATTAGCTTTCCCTGCTGACTCGCTTCCAGGAATTTACGACCTTACTTCCATGCCCATACGATCATGAGTTACCCCTCAGCAGGTCCTCCAGAAGCCAGAGGCCTCAGAAAGTTTCTCAAATGGCCTGGAGCTGAGCCAGTTCGACCTACATTATATGCCCAGTCGCACCATCAAAGGGCAGCTGTTGCAGACTTCATCTCGGAGTTCTCCTAT